TAACAGGGGATGACAAACATACTGCATGAAGAAATGTTATTGAAGCTTATAAATACACTGTGCAGGTTAAGTTTAGAAATTGGAAGACTAGGATTATGTATACCTAATTGTATTACTATTGCTAGCATCGTGTAGAAATATATATTGACCCAGTCAATATATGGGTCAAAATATGTATGCATGCTAAAGGAAAATTACAAATAAAACATATATTTAAAAAAGAGGCTACATGATCAAAGTCAATTTATAATATTAAATAAAGTATTAACAGAACCAGAATTGAATGAAATCCAAAGCTCTATCCAGAGCAAAGAAATCAAACCCTGGACAGAAGTAACTCAAGACTAGAGGCAAACCAGGGGGAGTTGGCAATAGAGGAACTGAATTGAATTATTTATTGTCATTGTACATATATACACAGTATACATACAATGAAATTCACAATATCCAGTCGAAATATAGAATTGTTTTCATGTGAAAACCAGACACCCTTTCCTCTGCTTTAGAAAGAACAAAGGCGTCTAACTGAAGAAGTAGAATTGAAATAAAGAATAACTGAGCAGTTTGGGGGTGGAGCCAGCTGACAGGGAGAGAAGACGTGCGAGCAGGAGGCTCTACAAAGCACAATGTTCTACTTTCGTTTTGCGGGACCTTTCGGGGTCAGGGGGCTCGTAGGGTTTCTGAAGGTGTAGGGGTGCCGAAAAACCTACAAGGGTGACGGTTTGTGTGGGAAAGCAGAGAGGACCTGGACTGAGCAAACAGACGAAGGACGATTGGAAATGGCCGCCCACTGAAACTGACAGCTCATTGTACTATTGGTGAAATAGCAGAATGAAAATGCATACTAAACTGACAACCTCAACAACTTAAAAGTGAGTAAAACAGAAAGGGGCACCAAAAGCAAATCAAATAGAGAAAACACGGCATTTGTACCTAAGAGCTAAGGGAGCAGCGAATTTAATTGTGGGCAAAAAGATTGGAAGAAGACAGGGAAGCCAAGAAAGAGAGAAGATCTGGCGGCTAGAACGGGAGAAGATTTGTGCATACGGCTGAGAAGAAAGGTGACTGGATCTGTGCTTGGAATTGATGTAGGAAGTGAACTTTGGATTTTAGTTTGGAGAACGGAGACATTTGAGAGCGCGAAGGAGCTGCTTAGGTGTGAACCCTGTGGTGATTACAGAGAAAAAAACAACCTGAATGAACTAAATGGATTTGAATTAAAAGCTTTAAGAGAACTGATAATTGTGATTAAATAAATATGGAGGTAGAATTGGACTTTCTTAACTTTTGTTTTGCTCCTCCTTTTGAATGGATCTGAAATCTTTGAATAAAGAAACTTTAAACTAATTAAAATGGATGATACATGAATACATAATCTCTCTCTCTCTCAAAAAAAATAATAATCAAAAAATCTAAAAAAATCTACAAAAGCAGGGTTTCAGAGCTGGTAAAATCGGTATTTAAGTGAAGTTCAGAAGTCTGACTATATCGACTATCATCCAGATCAGGGGTCTCCAACCTTGGCAATTTTAAGCCTGGTGGGCTTCAACTCCCAGAATTCCCCAGTGGGATTTAAAATTATGGTCTGCGGGATTTAAGATTATGAGTTTGGAGGTCCTGGGGGTCCAAAAGGTTGGCAACCCCAATCTAGCCCAACCCCCGCCCAAGTAGGAAACCCTACACCATTTCTGACAAATGATAGTCCAATCTCTTCTTAAAAGCCACCAATGATGAAGTTCCCACAACTTCCAAACGCAAACTGTTCCGTTGGTTGATTGTTCTCACCATCAGAGCATTTCTCCTTATTTCTAAGTTGAATCTCTCCTTGATCAGTTTCCATCCATTATTCCTAGTCTGGCCTTCAGGTGCCTTGGAAAATAGTTTGACCCCTTCTTCTCTGTGACAGCCCCTCAAATATTGGAACTCTGCTATCATGTCTCCCCTGGTCCTTCTCTTCACTAGCCATGCCCAGTTCCTGTAACCGTTCTTCATGTTTTAGCCTCCAATCTCCTAATCATCCTGGTTGCTCTTCTCTGCACTTTTTCTAGATTCTTAAGTTCTTTTTTATAGTGTGGTGGCCAAAATTGGATGCAGTATTCTAGGTGTGGTCTTACTAAGAGTAGTAGACATGAGACCAGTATTCCAGTATTTGAGGAGCTGCCATGACGAAGATGGGGTCAATTTATTTTCTAAAGCATCAGAAGGCAGAACAAGAAACAATTAATGGAAACTCATCAAGGAGAAAAGTGATATGGAATTAAGGAGAAATGTCCTTAAATGAGGACAATTAACCATTAGAACAGCTTGCATTCAGAAATTGTCACTGGAAGTTTTTAAGGAAGGACTGTATAGCCACCTGTTTGAAAAGTATAGGGTCTTCTGCTTGAGCAGGGAGTTGGACTAGAAGACCTCCCAGTTCCCTTCCAGCTCTATTCTGATTCAATACCTGTATAGCAGGAGGGCTTACTGACTACTAGAGACCAAACTGGCCTACAAGAAAAACAAAATGAAGAACAGAATGGCGGCATGGGAAGAGAAAGAACTTTGAGAACAGAGAGGCTGCACAAGACCAAGCTTTAAGAACAAATGCATACAAAACCAGAATTGAGAAGACAGCAAGAGAGAATAAGTACCCCCTTGCAAAGAATCTGAAGAAACAGTGGACCACCTGGTAAGAAGGCCAGTGGAAGAAGATTGCACAGACTGATTAGAAGCAACAGCATGACAAAATAGCAACAATGGTATATTGGAAGATCTGCAAGAAATATCATCTTTCTGCCAGGAAGAACTGGTGAGACTATAAAATAGAGAAAATCATAGGTACTGAAGAAGCTAAATTGCTCTTGGACTTTAGAATTCAGACGTAGAGCTGCCACCTAACAATTGCTGATAAGAAAGGAAAAAAATCTGGATAATAGATGTGGCAGTATTTGGAGATAGCAGAAGAGAAAAAAATGGAGAAAATAACAAATTACGAAGACTGTAAATAGAAATTGAATGACTGTGGCAAAAACAAACAAAGGTAGTCCCAATAGTAATAGGCACCTTGGATGCAATCCCAAAATAATTGGAGCACACTTCAACACCATCTGCATTGACAAATTCTCCATTAGTAAATTGCAAAAGGCAGCTTTACTCAGAACAGCTTACATCCTGAAACAGTATCTGTAACATCATCAAACATCCAAATCTGCCTATCCGAGGACCTTGGGAAGGACCCCATAAGTAGACTGTCAGCCCCCATCCATCTTGAATCAGATTTGGGGCTGCCACAAGGGAGGATGAGTAACTGTGAGAATTAAAGTAAAATGAGGATAGCCACAACAACATTCTTTTGCCAGAGCTCAAGGCCGAGTCGCTAGAGTATGGAGGGGAGTGACTGGACTTGGCGGGAGTTCAGAATGGAAGTGGATTGGAAAGTGTGACTTGAGGATCATCAGAAAAGAGGGCTGGGTGTGAGTTTAACATAGCAGGGGAAACCATGGGAATTGAGATTCAGATTTTCACAGACGTGCCAATATGACTTCTCTAATAAATTTACTTGGATGGACTTTGTTTCTGAGTGCTGAACTGAGATGGAGAGTTTTGTTGGAATGCTGACATTAACCCGAATCTCCTAAAAAAGAAAAATCACAGCGGTTTTCGCTAACGTGGTACCATTGCCCAGGGTCCTGAGTCCCGAAACGCTCCCTCCACACCTCAGGAGTATAAAGACTCAGGGAAGATGGAACAAGAACCGGAGACAAGTGAAGGGGCCACCGGGCCCATACATGAAGAAATTTGTGAAATCTGCTATTACCCTTCGGAAGCAGAAACGGCCGCAGCACAAGCCACGCAGGCTGAGTTCCAAAGTGGAGTGAGACCCAAAGAACCGACCCTCTGGCAAACCCCATTGACAGAATGAATGATTGTTGTCCTCCCACCTTTGGGGGCACAGTGGCCACCAGGAACCAAAGCTACCGAGTGGAGACCACCACGATCCCTGGAGACTGGCAGAGTTCATGAATGGAGACTTCAACCAGCATCGCAGAGTCAGTCAGTAGCTGGATTACCAGAAAAATTTGAACTACTCAGTGTGGGTCCCACAGTTCAAATCTCTCCACACGCAAGTCAGCCTGGATGTGTGCTGCCCAGGACAAGGCAGGGACCCATCAACAAAGTCCCTCAGCTGCGGCAGCAGCCTTGTCACCTGCTGCAACAGCATGACCCCCAGGCCCAGCAGACTGATTGAGCCTGGGGGTTGGAGGCAGACAAAGAGGCACCCCAAGCTGATCCAACAATCTCCACTAGCACCTCCAGGGATGCTACCTGTAGGCCAGGTTCCTCCCAGAAGGGCTTTTTTTCCCAGGACATGGGTGGATTTAGTACCAGTGGATGCCGGCTCCAGCGCCTCCACCAATTCCCCCAGCCACAGCTGCACCCCTTTCCAGCCACAAAAATATTTATTATTCCTGGATATATAAGCCTCAGAGGAGAAATATTTACCCATATTTAATGTATTTATAGTGTGATAAAAATAAGACAAAGGACAAAATCATATTTAATAAAAACTGATTAGCAGGAAGAGAAAATAATGGCTGGTGATCCCAGTTATGCTAAAAGATGGAATCTTACTCCCCTGCTCTCTGATGTAACCAGCTGGAATTAAGTGCTACTGTTGATGGAAGTAGCTGTTGTAAATGATATAGGAACAGTAAACTATATGATCAGAAGTTGAGAAAAGGGAAAAAACATATGCTTTTTCCTCTCCATTAATTCCAGTGAATTTGACTATACAAATTCTCAATTCGTTTTTCCAGCTTCCATCCTCCCAGACTATTGTTTGCAAAGCACATCTACCGATGGACAAAAGCTGTTGATTAATTCATGCTAGGAAAGTAATAAGTAAAGCATGCAAAATACCTAAATATATAATCCTTTTCATATTTTTAAATTAATAGGTATTCAAATTCTAAATCCAGAATTATATGTCTGGACTTTTCTACTGAAAAGGGGCTCACCTGCAGTACAGAGTGACCAATAGGACTATTTTCTGAAAGTTCAGCCTCATACAATGGTTTCTCAAACTTTGGTGCATTGTCATTCATGTCCAGAATGGTGATCCGCAACAAAGCACTGCTAGCACGAGGTGGGCTACCCCCATCTTGAACCCGGATAGTTAAGTCATAAGACTCTGATTGCTCCCGGTCTAGGTTTCCCATTACAATTAGTTGTGGCTGTTTCTCATCTTGATCCTCTGCTACTTGTAAGCCAAAAAGTTTCTGGGCATCTGAACCAGGCATGAGTTCATAGGAAGCAACACCATTGGCACCAGCATCACGATCCATGGCCAATGGAATAGGGAAAAGTGCACCAATATTGGTATTTTCAGGAATGGCTAGTGTGATGACAGGAGATGCAAAGTTGGGTGTATTGTCATTGATGTCCATCACTTCAATCTGTCCCTCCAGTAGGCGTGGGCTATTTTTCATCAGGTCTGTGATAGAAACCTCAAATTCCAGAAAACAAGGATCTCCTGGGAACAAGTGCTGGCACTCTCTCAGGCTTTCCCGATCAATGGAAGTTTCTGTGGTGTAGATATCACCAGTCTTGCCATCCACACGCAGATAGGGGGCACCCACCTCTAATTTATAGAGATGCCCTACATCTGGGAAGCCATAGTCTGCTGCCAGACTTCCAATGAGTGTATTGGGTGGCTGCTCTTCCTGTACTTTGTAGACAACACGTGTTCCAGAACCAAGGTTGGGAAGCTGGAGGAAAAACCACACACCCAGGCAAGAAACCAGCTGCTGCATTTTGAACTCTGATGAAACTGAAAGAAAGCAAAGAAAACAGATCATAAACAGCAAAGTTCTACCCAAGAAATATTTAATTTTACACAAAGTAGCATGTAGCTGCTGTGTACAAGTCTCTACAGAAAAAAAAGAACTCCCAGTTTTTTTCCTGAATATAGAGAAAGTACTCCTAGTTTCATAGGTGCCTCTATAAATCACTTCAGCCTTGATATCAGATGGCCACACCTGCCTGGCTCCAGAAAAAGCCACATTTACTACTGCTTAAACACCTTACTCACTATATGAGAAACTGTCATCTTTAATAAAAATGCAATAAGGGGAATCGATTGTCACCCTGACTATTGTAACTTTGCAGAGTTCCATCTAAAATAGAAAACACCAAGAATATTTATAATATCAAACAGAAATCCATGATATAACTCTACATACACAAAAAGCAATCCCTCATGAAAGTCTCTGCATCACTTTTCAGAAAAAATTACTACAGATGAATGAGCTAATTTCCTAAGTCATTTTTCCTATTGTTAAAATGTAATAAGCCTTTTTAATACAACATGCTTAGCCTTTTCTCTCATGAACCAATATTTATTTACTTATTTATTGCCATATCCCATATTAATCCCATATAAACATAGCTAGGATTCTGGCATCAAGTGAATCGGTAAACCAAAGTGGTCCTAGTATATTGTGGAATATCCTTCTTTACCAGGTTTCTCAGACAGGTTTGCCCTGGAAAAAATCATGGGCATGCCTGCACTTACAGTTTATGTCCGAGTTCATGTCAACTTGATTCTACAGCAAACAGATAGGTTCTCATCTCAACTGGGATGAGCCATACGCTTGATTTCATAATAAGGAATGTATGGATGGCCTTTCATTTACAAACATTTGTTTAGTGACCCTTTAAAGTTATAATATCACTGAAAAAGTGACTTATGATTGGTCCTCGTACTTACAACTAACATAGCATCTCCAGTCATATGATAAAAACTTGGGCAATTGACAATTTACCAAGGTTGCAGCATTTTGGAGTCACACAATCATTATTTGTGACCTTCTCCGATAGCTTCCAACAAGTAAAGTCAATGGTGAAGTCAGATTCATTTAATGACTGATGTGCAATTCATTTAACTGCACTGATATGATAACAAAGATTGTAAAACTGGACACAACTTACTTAACAACTGCCTTGCTTAGCAAGAGAATTTCTGGTCCCAATTGTGATTGTTACTCAAGGTCTATTTGTAGGCATGCATTTTTTAAATGTAACTATCTAGTTAACCAGAGACCAGATAAAACCTGTCAACATCTTTTTTTAAAGTGATCCCTTGTTACATTAGCTGAAAATATATTTAACAACCTATTTCATATAAGGAGATTATTATAATCTTATATATTATTATAATATATTATATTATAATTATTATATTTCATATAAGATTATTATTGTGTCTATGAGATTAATGCCTGTGAACTGAAATTTAATTTCTTCCTAGTATTTTAATGATCCATTGCTAACATGCCAATTTTACAACCATTTTTACAGACAAGTTATAAAAAATAGAATATCTCACATTCATAGGTAAAGCAGATATATACTGACATGAAAGAGAGATGTTTTGAGTTACATCAGAGGTCTGCAACCTTAAACACTCAAAGACCCATTTGGACCCATTTTCCACAGTAAACACAGGGAGCCACAAAACCTGCATCGGCATTGCCAACTCGACATCACTCCCACCCAGTCACATGACACCCCCAGCCACGCCTACGCAGCCGGTCATTAGGACAGAGAACTGGTTGTTAAAAAACACTCTGAACCATAAAACCCTTTTGACATCTCTCTCTCTCTCTCCCTCACCCCCTTTCTCCCCCGTCTCTCTCCCTTTTTCCCTCTCTCTGTATCTGTGTATCTCTCTCCCCCTCCCTCTCTTCCCCTCTTTCTGTATCTGTCTCTCTCCCCCCTCTATTTCTGACTCTCCCCCACTCTCTGTCTCTCTGTCTCTCTCCCCTATCTCCCCCCCTCCGTATCTGTCTCTCTCTATGTCTCCCTTTCCCTCTCTCCCTATCTCCACCCGTCTCTCTCCCCTTCTCTCCCCCACTGTCTCTGTGTGTGTCTCTCTCTCTCTCACCCCCCTCTCTCTCCCCCTTTCTGTATCTCTGTGTGTGTGTGCATGTATGTGTCTCCCTGAGAGATGGTGTGTGTGTGTGTGTGTGTGTGTGTGTGTGTGTGTGTGTGTGTGTAGCCAAGGCTGGGCCAACCCAGTGAGCTCTCCTTGGGGCTCTTTGCTACTCCTTTCCTTTCTTCTTGGTAACTTTTTGGAAATCTGGGCTGGCTGAGGAACGAGCGCAAGCCATAGCGGAGGCTTCCCTTTGGGCGACCTTCCTCCTCCTCCCTCTCTCTTTTCTTCTCGCAACCCCCTGGCTGGCTATGGTTGCAAGAGGAGAAAAAGGGAGAAAAGGAGGAGGGTCACCTGAAGGGAAGCCTCCACCGCTGCTCACACTCGTTCCTCAGCCAACCCAGATTTCAAAAAAGTTGACAAGAAGAAAGAAAAGGACTAGCAAAGAGCCCCAGGGAGAGTTCGCTGGGTTGGCCCAGCCTCTGCTTTCCAAGAGAAAGAGAGAAGAGATACAAGTGAGGAAAGAAAGGGAGAAAGAGACATAGAGAGAGATACAGAGAGTGGGGGAGACCTGCTGAAGGACGAGCATCATTGACGAGGAAGCTCTGGCTTTCTCTGAGCCTGACCCCTGGGGTGGGCATGCAGGGTTTGGGGGGGCCATCCCCCTTTTCCCGCTGTCCTGAGCTTCTTTACTCCTCCAGCAAAGCGTTGCTGCTGGTGGCTTTCATTGAAGTGTCCTCCGGGCAGCGAAAGTCCCCCGTGCAAGTTTTAAAGCCACAGCTAAGCACTGCAGGCCCGTCCCCCTTTCTGTTGTCCCCTTCTCCTTGATCCCATTCCCACCCTGCCAGCCCTTGTGTTAGCAAGCACAGGTTGGGCCAGTGTCTCAGGGAAGAGAGCAGGTTGTACGTATCCCCAAGCGACTGAGGCACACCCAGTGTTGAGGTTCGCTGGCAGCAGGTGATGACAGCAGAGTTGTCTGATAGTGAGGACTCAGACGAGGAGCCTGCGTGTGATGCAGAGATGGGGCCAGGACTATTGGAGAGTGGGGTGCTGCCTTCGGAGCTTGTGGAGTCTGGCAGCAGTGACGCAGAGGACCTTGAGGAGCCTGTGCACGTGCACTGGGCTGCTTGAAGAGCAGCTGAAGCAGCAAGGGTGACTTGGGAGTAAGGCTGGAAGATGATGGCCCCTCCCATAAGGGAGAAAATCCAGCCCTCGGGGGTATGGTCTTTGCAGGAAGCAAGTAAGTTCTTTAGACTCAGTCCTCGTTGAAGCCCTGTATATTCCGGTTTGTTTTTGAAACGTCTGTTGGTGGATATTTAATCAGTAATTAGTCTTCTGTTCTTGGCAGCCTTTTGCAACCTTGAAAGGGCTTGCTTTTGATATCGGACAATTAGATTTAAATGTTTCTTGGCTGGGAATGCACTGAATTCCAGCGCCACATTAAAAAAGGTTTGCTTTTATACACAGTTTATGTTTGTTTAATTTGAACAAGGCTTGGGTCAGAACAATTTGCTTCCTGCCCAAACGAAACAAACCTTGAATGCGAGATGGAACAACTTTGGGCAAAGAATGCTCACTTGCAACAGCAGTTGACCTTATTAGCTAATAAATTAGGCCAGCTCCAGGCTCTCACTGCTCCACCTCCTCCTCGAAGGAGATGTCCAGTTGTCATTCCTGATAAGTTTGATGCCAACCAGGCTATGTTTCCAGAGTTTTTGGGACAGTGCCAGCTATTTATGAGCTTGAGAACAGAGGTCTTCCCCACTAACCAGGATAAAGTGAGGTTTATAATTAGCTTGCTCTCGGCTCTGCAGCTCGCTGGGCCATACCTTTGTTGGTACAGGACAATCCTTTGTTGTATGACTTCAGGAGGCTTTCTGACCATTTTCGTTTCATATATGAGGACCCTATCAAGACACATACTGCTGCCCATTGGTTGAAGAAACTGCAGCAGGGGTGGCAATCCCTGCAGGAATATGTCAGTGAGTTCCGGCTGCTTAGCAAGGATTCAGCCTGCAATGAGGCTGCCCTTATGGACACATTCCAGGATGGGTTGTTGGAGGAGTTGCAGGACAAGCTGGTTCCCACGACTGTCAATACTCTGATTCATCTGTGCCTGAGGATCGATGCCCGCTTGCAGAGACGGAACCATTGCTGTGCTTCCCAGGAGACTCCTGTGGCACCTGTTGTGCATGAGACCTGGCTCCACGGGAGGAGCCCATGGATCTAGATGCTGCCAGGCCCCACCTGTCAGTGATGGAGCATAACAGACGGCGCATAGGAGGTTGTGTTTATATTACAGGGAACCTGGGCACCTGGTTGCTTCGTACCCCAAGAAGCAACAAGGGGCGTCAGCCCCAGTGCCTGTTCCTCGGACCCAGAAAACCCTGTTGGTCCCTGTGTCTATTCCCCGGACACAGAAAACCCTGTCAGGAAACAGCCGGAGCCCGATCTAGGGGAGACCCTGGGTCCAGCGCACATCAGCCTTGAGTCACACCCAGAAGACATGGATTCTGGGCATTTGATCCTGGTGGCACATGTTTTTCTGGCGAATAGTCGACAGGGGATTCCGGTGCATACCCTGGTCGATTCCGGCACCACCACTAACTTCATGGATGTGGCATTTGTAGCCCAGTATACCATCCCTCAGTGCCCAGTGGAACCTCCTGTGGTTGTCGAGACCATCAATGGCCAGGTGCTTTTGTCTGGGCCTATCAAGGCCACCATCCAACCCTTGCACCTGACTATTGGCTCACATCAGGATGCTATCCAGTTCTACAACACTTCCGGACTGCTTTCCCCATGGTCTTGGGCTTGGCATGGCTCCGGACTCACGATCCCCAGATCTACTGGTCCCAGAACATGATCACATTCCCGAGCCTGCAATGTGTGGACCA